CTCAACCTCCTGTGAAGCCGCTACAAATGGGAGCCAGGAACTATACAGTTTTCGGCTCTTTGCCGACTTTCCATAATTGGCACCCACCGTGGGAAGATTCTGGGCGAGCAGCTCGCCCAGAAAGTTCCCACGGTTGTGGCTGTGACGGTTTCTGGGCGAGTTACTCGCCCAGAACGTTCCCACGGTCTGCATGCATGCGGGATTGTGGAACAGTGAAGGGAAAAATAGGAGAAAATGGGGAAAGGGTACCTGAGGGTGTGTGGGGTCAGGGGCTGTGCCCTGACAGGTCCGGAGTCAGGAGCATAGGTGTTGCGTACTCGTCTGGAAGGTGTCAAGGTTGGGGTCGGACCCGGAATGTTCCGGAGTCGGACTGAAGGTGGTGTTGGAGCCGGAGGTGGGATAACCTCTTGGGAGTTGGCAAGGAGAAGGTGATGGAAGGGAAGTAGGACTCCGGAAGTCAGGTTCGGAGTTCCGGGAGCTTGGAGCGGAGGTCGGGATTGTATGGATATGACACCAAGAGACTTTCCCTCTGCTAGATCCGAAATTAGGGACCCCTAGGACAACCAGCAATGGCACAGCGCTCCGCCTGAGTCGCTGAGGCCGAGGTCCTTCCACGCTAAGTCTCTGATTCCACTCCGGAGTCGTCCGAATCTGCTAGTTCTAACAGGTCCAACAACTGTAAGTACAATGCAAACTGGGTGTATATATAGAAAAAAAGAGAAATCAGAACAAAAAACAAGGAAAATAGCCGATGGATGGTGGCAATGGAAACAGGAAGAATGTTGAGAACTCGGCTAAGAAACAATAAGGCAAAAAAAATGTCCACAAGGTAACAATAAAATCAATAATTGAGGCCTATAAGGTCAATATCAACCATCAATATCGCTTCTCCACCGCATATCCGTCATCCTAACTCCCGTCCTGTCATTCCACCCTCTTCTCCTGATTCGTCGCTGTCCATAGAGCTCAAAATCGTGTGAATTGGTAGAGATTTGGGGGAGATATGGGGAAAATGGTGGATAACCGTGAATTTGGGGAAGTGGCAATACGAGTCTTGAGAAAAAGCACGGAAAAAATTGGAAAAAATGTGGAAATGTGCCGTGGGCATTGGGAATGTGTCGAAGGCTTGAGGGTGCTTGTTGGAGCCGCGAAAAACGTGTTTCTGGCCTTGTTTGTGTGGTACTTGCTGTGCCCTCCTACAGCACATCCTCATTTGTACTTCTCCCCTCTGACACTTGGGATCGCCTGCGGAGCCATCTGCGATACCCTGGCTCCACCTGGGCTGATGTGGCACCCCCCACGTGACCCGTTCCTGCCTGTATATAAACTGAGCCGAAGCAGAACTGAAGAAGCAGCCTTCTTCTCACTACTGCTTCAGGCAAGTATCTTACTCCAGCTTAGTTTAGTTTAGTTTAGCCTTCCATTCTAATAACAATCACTACTGCTTCAGCCTAAGAAGCCAGACAGGGATGTGAGCCTGAGTGAGGGCCATTCGCTATACATTCCTGTTACCCCACTTGTCATATCCGTGCATACCCGACCCCGACCCGACTTCCGGACCTCCACCCTCTTCACCTCCGGAGTCATAACCTACCGCTGCCATTCTGATACTCACCTTCGGTCCTGGCAACACACCTCCTCCTTACCTCACACCAGCCTCCTACTACTCCGCTCCCCCTTCACAACACCTCCACCCTCCCGTTATCCTCCTACGCTTCCCCCGTCCGCTCCGATACTCACCTTCGGACCTGACTACTCTCCTTTCCGCCACTCCTTCTCCCTTACCTGTCCCCTCTCTCCTCCCTCCGTTACTCCTCTGTTACTCCTCTGCCAAGTTACGACCTTCCACTGCTGTTCCGTACTTCGCACTCGGACACCGCTCGTACCTTACTCTGAGCCTCCGTCATAGTCCCTACCTCGGACTTTGACTCCACCTTGGCCTTAGTCCATTGCATTGGTGACCTCATACTACGTAAACACCATTGCCAATATTCCTCGGACTTCCAACCCCACCTCCGTAACCTCCGTAAGCTCCGCAACCCCTGAGCTTCGCAGACCGCCTTCGGCACTCTCGCCGCCTGTAATGTATTCCTCACGTTTCCCCTTCATCCCTATTTGGACTACTGCTTCTTTCTATTCTAGCCAGTTAGTCATCATCCCCACTTCCCCTCATCCTCCTGCCCCTCTGGGCCTCGCCCTCCCTATCTCCTTTCGGATGTATCACAGGTCCTGCCTTATGACCTTCGGTACCTATCCGCTCCTTCTACCCTTTGTTCCCGTTCGGACGTCTTCGCTCCGATTCGGTTACCCTTTGTTTTCCTTGTGCTTTTGCCCCTTCCATTATATATATCGGCGCTTGTACATACTCGTTTTGGTTTAGTCCGAAATCGACCTGAAATGCCCCCAAGAGACTTCCTGCTCACCTACTGTGAAATTAAGGACCAAATGGACAAACAGCAATGGCACAGCGCTCCGCTTGAGTCGCTGAGGCCAAGGTCCCTCCACGCTAAGTCTCCGATTCCACTCCGGAGTCGTCTGTTTCCGCCCCATTCTAACAGCATACAATTTCGGCCAGGCAGGATGATTCAGGCACTCGAATGAGTACCTGATTTTGCCACATTTGAAGCAAAGGGAATTGCCCTTCGAGTCCTTCGAAGGGCAACGTTGTGTATTCGTAGTATTGCCGGTGTTCACTGAATACTGGTTGTGTGTTGTAGGGGTGGTATGAGTAACCCCCTTTGTGTGTGACAATCCCGTCGAAGGCTTCACCACACTCATATTAGACTTCTTACTATCCATGTAAGAAGAGAATTTAGAGTGACTCTTCATGGGTGTCACTTTAGAAGTAGCCCCTGACACTCCTTCGTAGTCGGGAGCAAGTTACTTGATCCACTTGGCTTGGTAGTTGAGTGAGTGTTTGAAAATTTGGAGGGGGTGAGCCCTCCTTTATATGCATTGGTAGCGTGCATTGAGTCCATCGCATTATGTTCCTCTATATTATAAGGGAGGGCATTTATGAAACGCTCATTGAAGCTCGCCTGATCTGGGCGAGTAATCATCTTCTCCAATGCATGGAGAAGTTGCATGTAAAAGTGCTTGATTCCCTTCGAGGAATCATAGGAAAGTGTTTTGAAAAGCTTGGTGGCAGGTACTGCCACCGATCTTTTCACATAAGTGAGCATTAGCTTCTTGAGAAGCTGCATAAAAGTGGGGACTAACCCACTCTCGAATCCTTGCTTCATGTCATAAAGCACGATCTGTTTGGGGTTGCCATCTAAGGCATGGGATAGAGCATTGTCAGGGCACACCCCACCTGACCCTGCGCTACTCCGCTCCCCCTGCTATCACTCCCCATTTCTCCTTTTCCCATTTCTTCTTTCTTTCTATTTCCATTCCACAGTTGACTTCCCTTTCACTGCACACCTAACCCCACTCCCCCGATTGCCGCGCCCACCATGCGCATTCCTGCTCACAGAGTGGCACACCTCTGGGATCTCCCACGGAGATACCCAGGGAAGTGTGGCTGTGTGCGGAGATGACGTGGCTCCTCCCACGTGACCCCAACCGCATGTATATAATAGTGCCTGGGGTGGGAACAGAAGAAGCAGCCTTCTTCTCAACTTCCCACTTCAGGTAAGTACTGTAGCTTCTCCCCTTTAATGATAACACAACTTCCCACTTCAGACTAAGTGGTCAGGGATGCTCACCCCGCAATGGGACTGCTGCTATGCATAGCCGACATCTATCCCATCGACTCCCTCATGCCAGGACCTCGCTGCTTTTGGAGCTGTCCCTGACAAGCATCTACATGGAGCTCATTATAACTCTTGCCCTTCCACCCATTTCCTGAAATCCCGGAAGTGAGTTCCATGAGCCAACTCTCGAATTTCTTGAGATTGTTTTCCCCAGACCATAAGGTTGTGGGGAATGGGACAGAGTTCTTTTTAAGTAACTCTGTTTTAACATCGGGTGGTAGGGGAGTCAAGATCCGCATCTTAACTAGGTTCTCGATACGATGAACTAACTCCTCCATGAACCCTTCTGTGTCACCAGGCACTAAACTATTCGGATCCCGCAAATAGGATCTTAGTGTGGATTTGACGAATCCATCGGGAGGAACAGCCAAGCTCGCCACTCGAGGGAGGGCAGACCCCATGGTCCTAGGGACTTGGGAGCTAGGCTCCCTTTCCTTCTTCACTGGTGATATGACGATGGGGTGTGTTGCCCCTCCAATTGGATCTTGGAGTGTGCATATTGTTGGCTGAGGAGTCGAGGCATTCTGCCTCAGTGCTCTGAAGAGATTATTTGGCCCATCACCTCTACTGGGCCTATCCTGGCCCAGCATTCCATAGAACCCATTGCGTGGGTCTGGCACAGTGAATCGGCTGTAGGAATTAAGCCTACATTTGATTTCCCATGCATGGGCGTCCAATCCTTCTGGTTTGTGCACATAGTCGGCATCGCCATCTATCTGCATTCCATATTCGATTGACATTTCACTACAGGCGCGAGGAGCAAAGATAGTCCTTTGTTTCCTCTTTATCTCACCTTCTCTGTTAATAATGAGGGCTCGTCCGGACCCATGTCTAAGTGAAAGGTTGCTTACTTATTTGGGGACGGTAACGTTCCGTTCCCCCGTTCGCCTCAGGCCTCAGTTAGTCCGTCTAAATATAAGCTTAAATGTGCTCTATATTCAACGGGGTAGAGGTAAAAGGCTACCAGGCCTTTACAACTACTCCGAGGTATATATATGTAAATTACATATCTCGGCACAAATAAATAAAGAAATAACCACATCACTATAATGGGAATTATAGCGATGCAACATAATATAAATATCACTATAATCGGAATTATAGTGAAGTAAGGTTAATCCCTTACACTAAGGGTCCGGGACTGAGGAACGTCTTGATCAACGTCACCTTCATCTGTCAAACTAATAAGGACGGCAGGCTCCTCCTCATTATTAGGGGGTGACCTAGGCGACATTTGAGTTTGCCTCAGGGAGAAAGGAGGGCCTGTGGGGCCCCAGTCAATGGCTTTCCCCTTCAGATGGGAAGGGATCCTCTTGGGTGATGAGTTCATTGTGTTTCCCGGTTCAGACTCTTCATGGCGAGGGATGATTGTCGTCATCCTCACACTTGGGTGTCCTGGCACAGGGACGAACTTAGTAGTTTGTATGTAGTCATTGTTGACTACAACTATGTTGTCTTCATCCATCTGGTTTCCCTGATGGTTTGGTTCCTGTTCTTGAGCAACAATTTGCTCAAGCGAGAATGCACTAGGTGCCCCAAGTTGAGGCGTATTAATTGGGGGTTGGTGTTGTACCAACTCTAGGTTGGGATGAATAAGTCCCACCTTTACCTCTTTGAGGTCCTCATCGTTCTTCATGAGATGCGCTAGAGCGATCCCTACTTGCGTGTATAGGCGATCAAGCCTATCATCTGTTGTGTTGGTTTGAGCCACTAGGCTCATCAACGTCTGCATGATTTCTTTGAGCTGGTTGTTGACCAGCTCTTGAGGTTGAGTCGATGCTTGATCACCAACAGTGTCGACGATCTCGACAGACTTGTCGAGGCCATCACTGGGTATTGGCATCTCCTCACCTGACCTAGTAGGATCGGGAACAGGGTCGGGGATTTGAGCGTTGGGAGGCCTATTCGGCTCTAGTGGCACATCAGGAGGGTCCTTTTCAGGAAGAGAAGGTGCTTCTAGCACCCTCAGCGCTATCCACTGTCTGCGTGACATTACATGCATTCGATCTCATCCTCTTTGCAGAGGGAGAACCTGGAGCTCTCTTGGGTGCCATGAGGACTCCGACAGCTGGTTCTGATGAGCTGATCGGCGCGCTTCACAACATCAATCAAATGGAAGCTTTGGTTAATGCAGGGGTTGTTGATATTCAACCCACCAAGCATAAAAAAGTGTAAGATGATAAGATGATAGTGGTTGTGAGTATTGCCTCACACTCCCAGTCCATCAGAGATATGCTATAATAGGCTGTATAACCAATGGGGGAGTAAAGGCTGTAAAGCCTTGACTCGCCCACATGCCAGGTTTATATACATGGGGGGAAGAGCACATGCAGCCTATGTGGCTTGCAGGGTCTCCGAGTATATACAATAATGTAGCGTTGTTGCATGAAGTTACAAACTGATTATAATAGACTATGTTACAAGTGATAACAAGAGTAAGGCAAAGTAAAAGAGTTAGGAGGGGCATAAGCAGCCTCCCTTCCTTACATACACACTGTAACCATTCTTGGTGTTTCTGGACAGCAGAGGGTTCCACAGTGAAGGAGAGAATGAAGGAAGGTCAGTTGGGAGGTTCAAACGAGACCACCACCAAGCTGTTCCCTGGTTCTTTAGTTAGGATGGGGAAGTGTACTAGTAATATTTGTTGTAATTATAGTACCAATCCGAGTGTTTTGGCTAATTCTATTTTATGGGTTAGTCTAAAAGTTTCTGAGAATTGACTTACAGATAAACAAAGCCCTGCGGAGCTGTTCCTCTATTGTAATTTCTCAATTTGTCTGGGTGTAATTCTGTGTAGGATCACTTAATTTGGATTTTAACTTGAATTAAATCTTTTACTTGGTGAATTTTCAAAGATTCTACTCAGTTAATGGGTTTAGATTGTATCTGAAGTTGTCCCTTGACCTTGCCTCATTTTTGTCTTATTTTTATTGCTTGTTTTAACAGTAGCAAAATAACTGTTTTGTGTTTACACTTTTGAAATCTGGAGTGTTAACCAGCTGTCCTGTTGAAATATTTACTTAATATTCCTCTCCCTAATTGATGCCTTTTACTACAGTGGCAATCTTAACTGTATATCACTTTTTTGCGCTGGAGTGATAACCAGAAATGCTTGAGAAAAATAATACTCTATTTTCTTACTTCTCTAAGGGGGGCGAAAAGTCGCAGAAAGGGTTTCCCTTTTATACTCCTTGGGTTGCCTTCCTTTTTCATGCTCTACCTCGTATTTACAGGATTTATTTAAAGTGTATTTTCCTCAAACTGAATAAAAATGAATTTTTCACGCTATAGTTCTACTGCGCTCAGCTGTGCTGAACTGTGGCTCTACTGCAGTCAGACTGCGCCTAGAATCCTTATTGTCCTTCCTCACCTAAGTTATTTTAATGGTTCAATTAGAACTTGACTGTGCTGCATTTGTCGCAGTTTTCTATTTCAAATTCCCCTTATTTACCATTAAGTTTGCTATGACTTGGTCATTCTGAATTCAAACTTCGCATTACTATGCGTATGGCTGTGCTGAGACCTTCAGCTGATTTATTCTATTTTTATCCAGTAACATTTAGTTGAAATGAGACTTGAAATGATAAATGAGTGAATTATTCAGGTTTAGAACCGAAAGAAAAAGTTGCTAGTAGTCAAGAATTGTTCAAACGAATGTGTTATAGCTCTCTGCTTCATTAGTATATCGTTCCCTGAAATTCCCACCATGGTCCATCATAGTTTAGTGGTTTTTGTGGATTTCATCCATCTCCCCTGATTCCCCTTTGTATTATTGCATCCTAGTCCTTCAGATGTATTGTTCGTTGTTATAATAGGTCGTCCTCGAAGATATCATATTTTTATGTATTTTATTTGGGGCTCCGGACCTCTAGAAGCTGTCTTCCCATGCGTTTTCAGGTTTCTAACTTCATGTCCTTGTATCTCATTCATTTATGAATGGTTTTTCACGTTCTCGGCATCATAAATTTTCATTTATTCCCACCTTTCCAATGGTACTAAAGTTGTATTCTATTTCTTGGTATTCGTCAAGTTAGCAAAAGTTTGTGCACACATTCGGTAATCACATGCATTGTTCCCATACTTGTTCATATGCGGGCACCGTTTCTGTTTAATTGTTTGGAATTTATTGTATGCATGGGTGTTTGTATCCTCAATATGGGCTTCCATGATTTATTTCAGATTTTTCCCTCATGTTCTAAGGTGTTTTTGTACTTTCTGTGCTTTGTTTTGACCAGGATCTTCCTTTGGACAGAAATTGGTTGCCGAAGCACAGATCTCAGTTCTGACAGCTGGTTCCTTTCGCATCGCCACCCTCACATGTCTTTAAGCATGATGTGGATTTCTATATTCCCGTCGTTGGTGTAACTTCACAACGGCTGGACCGTTTGGGCTGAAACTTTGCATAACTATAGTTTCCAATTTATCATAATTTCCATGTAAATTTCGTTGTGTGTTTTAAATATAGATCTTGCGTGACCATCGACTTTTCCCTGAGCCGTGACTCTGATGTCACTCATCCCATTAATGAATATCTCATTGATGCGTGAACTTTTTATTATGAAAATTTGGGTCGATTAAGAATGGATCCCTTCCTTTTCAATGCTCTATCAAGCTCGTCTCGGTCGTTACTGCTTGTTCTTCGTGCTTGCCTTTTAAACGTTGTCCTCGTTTTCCAAGAGTTTCGGTCATATCTCCGTCATTTATGGGTAGTTTTCCCTGTAATTACTTTCATTGGGTCCGTTTGGGAGACATCTACATTTCCTATTATAAACACGACTTTGAATTTTGCATTGGTTCCTAAGGAATCCTTGTTCTGTGGTACTTCTAGCCTTGGCTAGGTGTGTGGGCATGGGAAAGTAGTTTCCTGGAGGTTCTCTGGTTGGTTTTATAGTCAAATCTTGCTCGATTGTCCTAGTTCCTTGTTCAATATTCGCTATAAATTCCCCCAAGCATTCCGTCTTGTTGGTGCTAGGCTCAAAGTATTTTTATGAATTTTCTTTCTTCCAATTTATCATATGTAGTCGTAATAATTCGTAAAAATTCATTAAAATTCAGGTTCTTCTATTTTCTGATATCTACTTGATGTATGGGGTTTTTCGTGGTTTATCTGATATATTTCCATAATGAGTTTCCATAGGGTGACCATTATTTCTCCTACAACGGACTCACTGTGTTAGATCGGGCAGATTCAGACAACTCTGGAGTGGAATTGGAGACTTAGCATGAAGGACCTTGGCCTCAGCGACTCAGGTGGAGCACTGTGCCATTGCTGGTTGTCCTAGGGGTCCCTAATTTCGGATCTAGCAGAGGGGAAGTCTCTTGGGGGGGAAATCAAGTCGATTTTGGACTGAGGTTACAATTTACTAGGTACATTGTAGATAAGGAGGGGTCTGGAATCAAAAGGGACAAGGGTAGGATGAAAGGAGACAAAGGGAGCTGGAAGGAGGAACAACACTGAGGGTCAAGGGTTTGACTCAATGGTGTTTCCCAAAGGAGGAGTGAAGGGCCAAGGCCCAAGGAGGATGGAAGGAGGATGGAGTGGGGAATGGCCAGCTGACTGAACAGAAAGGAAGCAGCAGCCCAAATAGGAATGAGGGAGAATAGTGGAATTGAATGGAGCAATGCAATAGTTGCAAGGTCCAAAGTAAGTCCGGAAAGTCCAAACTCAGAAGTTAAACTCCGGAATATTGGCAAAGGTAATTAAATGGAATGAGCTAACCAATACAATGGGTATAAGTGGAGGTGGGGTCAAGGTCCGAGGTCGGAGCTAAGACAGTTCTGGAGACGGAGATGCAAATGGGATTCCGGAGCGGAGGTCCGGAGTCGGGAGCATAGGTGTTGCGTGCTTGTCTGGGAGGTGTTGAGGTTGAGGTCGGACCAGGAATGTTCTGGAGTCGGACCAAAGGTGGTGTCAGAGCCGGAGGTGGGATAACCTCTTGGGAGTCAGCAAGGAGAAGGTGATGGAAGGGAAGTAGGGCTCCGGAGTCAGTTTCGGAGTTCCAGGAGCCCGGAGTGGAGGTCAGGATTGTATGGATATGACACACTGCTTTGACAGAGACATCAATTGGTTCCTCCCACTCTATTCACTCATTCATCACTTTCTTTCTGCCCTTTACTCAATGGACAGAGATTATGTCTTCTTAGATCTGAGTCACTCACTTATCTCACAATTGATCTAATCGGACTTTGGAATCGGTCTTTGAGCCTCAGAAACTTACCATAATCGCTTTGTAACATCCTCCTTTCGCAGTCTTTTCCGATGGCAATGGCGATTGAGACCCCAGCCCTTCATTCTGAAGTTTGATGTCAAATGGCCAGAAATCATACTGCTCTTTCCACCAGATCAATGTACACACTTTTTAGTCCACATTATCCCCTCTCTAACCCAATTTCGCCAGTGTGATACTTTCCAACAACCAATATTCACCCAATTGTCCCCTATGTGCAACCACTTTCGATGGCGATCCACCCTGTGTGGATGGTGTGGGTTGGTGTTGCCATCATGGCACCAAATGTCTTCCACGCCTTCCACCATTACCTCCCTGTCTAGCTTCTTTCATCAGTACCTCACCCACCAATGCGGGAATGCATCCCAAGCATTGAACTATGTATTCAATCTGAGTGCACAAGCTGTATCCAGAGAATTTCAATCCTTTCAAAGTGCGACACTCCTTCTCTTTCACACTCTGACCTCATTCAGGGTAGGTCTGATGCTGAGGGGTTGTCCTTGACTGAAAATCACTGTAGCTGTCAGGGCCCAGCCTCTGTCTGGGGGCGGCCCTACCTCAGAGCTGGACACTTGTGGTGTCCCAGGCAGCCAGGTTGTTAGAACTGGGCGAGGGCAGATGATTCCAGAGGGGAACCGGAGACTTAGCAAGGAGGGACCTTGGCCTCAGTGACTCATGTGGAGTGCTGTGCCATTGCTGTTTGTCCATTTGGTCCTTAATTTCAGAGGCAGCGAGCAGGAAGTCTCTAGGGGGCATTTCAGGTCGA